TTTTGTTGATCAATCTATTAGTGTTATATATGCGTTTAAAAATAATTCTATTATAAAAGCAATAATCCATTAGTAAGATGTTTTCGAAGGAGATGAGGAATAGTTTTCTTCGAAATCATCTATTGAAATATGATCGCTAGACTATTTCAAACAAATAGTCTATAATTTATGATGAAAACGTTAAAATGTTAATTTTATCTTTCGATATTTCTCTTATAGAACAAGTAAACATAAGATCTTTATCCGAAAGGAATTCATATTTTGAAAATATTGTATCTGACAATGAACACACAATTATGTAGAAGAGGAAGAGAAAGAGAGAACAGTACACATGATACGAAGAAAGGATAATACCCAGATAATGAAAATAGTAGAAGAATCGAGAAGAAAGATAAACATGATAATGCAGCGGCCACCATACTTGTAAGCGGACAAAAAAATCAGGCAACGCGTCCGACGAGAACGCTTTAATTATTGGCACAGACATCGTTTATATTTTATTTTTTCTGCTTACTCTGCGTACGGTAAGTGGATTCTTTGACGAAAAAAATCGATGTTTATTATTTATCTTTTTCTCATAGATCAAGATCATCAAACTTTTCGATTGACTTCAATATGGAAGAGACAAAACTAGAATTAGAAAATAGAATACAAAGTAAGAATCATATATTTGTTTTTATTACATATATTAGGCACATTCTTTTTTGAAATTTTTATAATAATAATAGTCGATTTGAACAAGTAAGTTTAAATGAAAAATCTTCTGATTTTTCTCTTTGAAAATTTAACTATTTTTTTTTTGTTTATTTCATCAAGAGATTCAATCACTCATTTTGAACATCTTTCCAATGAAGTCATTCATGAAATATTCGATTTTCTGGATTTTTTTCAACTATATAAAATTTTTTTCATTCTTAATATACGATTTCAAAATCTTCTTATTAACTCAAGTCAACCGATAAAAATCAAACTTCCATTAATATCGAATTCAATTTTTCACAGGTTTTACACACAGATTATCGTGCCTAATAAGCATCGAATTACATCGCTTCATTTATCAAATCCATTTATTATCCATCATGTTTTTTCATCAATATCTATGCCATCAAAATTTACTCGACTTGAAAATCTCATTTTTCATGGTATCAGATCATTTTTTCTTGATACAATTCTTCTGTTTTTACCTACCTTACCTTGTCTATCGTCATTAGTCATTGATTGTATAGATAATGTTGAAAATAAAAACGCTGTTTATTATCGAATATTTCGTTTACCTGTATTAAAATATTGTAAATTATCATTAGATGAACCTTTTTGTCTTTCTTCATTACCTCGTGATTCATTACCTCTTGCAACTACTAAATTCAGTTCTATTGAACATCTTATTATTACAAAATTATTGCGGCTGAACGAATTGAATGGTCTTTTATCATATGTTCCTAAACTTCATCGTTTATCGATTCATCTTTCAAATCGATTTTTTGAAAAATATCAACAACAGCATTTTATTCATTTGAATCATTTGACACATGTTTTTTTAAATATAACAGACATGGATTTCAAAGAATTTGAATTAATAATAAAAAATTTATTTAATCGAGTTGAAGTTTTATATATTACATTAAAAAATGATTCAACATATTTATATGAAAATCGATGGAAACAATTAATTTTATTTCATATGCATCATTTACGAATCTTTGATATTATGATTTCGTATACTGCAGACTCTTCTGAAGATATTTTCAACTCTATCTCTCTAACTAATCATTTCAACTCTCAATTTTGGTTTGAACGAGGATGGTTTTTTGAATATCAAATTTATAATGACTTACTTGATGGTTTTATCTTTTATTCAATAAATCCATACAGGTAAAAATAAGATTTGTTGGTTCAAATGTTTTCTTTTTTCTAATTTTTAGAAGAAAATCTTACTCAATTTATGATGAAAGAGGCATGAGTACCTCTTCATTTCGTCCAAAATGTAACATAAATCCAGTTCAATTTATTAAAATTCAAGAGCAAGAAGAGATAATTAATTGTAGATATTATTTTCCAAATGCTATTGAACTTACTCTTTCATATTCTTATGAAAAAAAAAATCAAAACATTCTCTTAACCAGTTTTAATAATATTATTCCATTAAAACAACTTACTAAATTAGTCATCCATATATGTCCTGATCGTTTTGTGGAAATAATTGAACTATTACTTTTATCACCTAATATTCATACTTTCGAAATTCATTATGTATCACTTAAGTATTCAGATTTAATATCAATTGAAAATAGTGAAACATTTCAATTATTATCCAAAACAAATAATATTAAAGAAATTATTATTATGTTAGATTGTACATTGGAAATAACAAAATTTTTTGTTAATTTATGTCTTCGATTACAATATCTTATAATGAAAATTTCGAATAATAATAATCTTCAACTAGTTTTATCATTTTTATTCTCAAAAAATAATTATATTACACATAATTTGTTTTTATTATGTATTAAATCTATGTCTAATACTGAATTCGATATACTGGAGAACTTTATTGTATTACAGGAGCTCTTCGATGTCTATTTAACAAAAACAAAAGTTAATCGATACTATAACGATGTGTATTTATGGTGGTAAAATTGATTGTTAATAAATTGTTTCATTCTTAAATGTTTATCACTTTTTAATAAACAAGAAAACTATTATTATTACATTTTGTACATATCATAGGGTTAGATTACTGTATGTGATTATCTTAAAATTCATCAGCATATAAAAATTGTTGACTTGAATTTATACGATGATAAAAACAATAATATTAGTTAACATTATGACAATTCATGGTTTCATTTCGTGTTATTATTTTTTTCTTCTCTTAGAAATCTTTGAAAATATACCTTTGAACTTAACAGAAATTGTTTTCCTTATATTGTTGTAAATATATTATCGTCCCATTTCTAGTAGCAAAAGTATGAGTATGGTTATCATATGTTAAATAAAATATCTCATCAATGATTATCATGACTATATGACTTACAGATATATATCAGAGATGTCCATAGCGGCAGATTTTTTAAAAGTCATCGCGGCCGCGGCGCGGTAGCGGCAGGTTTTTTTAAAAAAGCCATCGCGGTAGTGGCAGCGTTTTTTTGGATGACATTGAAAAACTGCATGGATATAATAAAATTTCGTGGTTTACAAATGAAACACTCCGAGACTGAATGAATCTAATGAACTAGCACCAATATTTCTGGTCAAATATAGTCGCAGCAGTGGAATTAAAACACTTTTTGGAAAACCGCCGCGGCGGCGGCACGTTTATTTTACAATTCATCGCGGCAGCGGCGCGGCAACTTTTTTTTATAAGTCATCGCGGCGCGGCAACCTTTTTTTTTCTAAGGCCTCGGTGTAGCAGCGGCAGATTTTCAGCCACGATGGACATCTCTGATATATATCATTGCATGATTCTGTAAATCAACACAAAACTAAAATGTTTTGTTCATTGAAAGAAGGTAGTTAGTTCAAAAAAAACTAACACTATTAAATCTAGTGTAATGTTCACAGGTTGAAGCGATAAACTATTCGAAAGAATCAACTTGTTCGAATAGTGTATGTAATTAAGGAAAAAAAACAATCCTTGTTAATAGAACAAGTCAGATAGGGTTTACTCATTTTATCAGAGCAATCTTTCGATTAGCCGTTCTAATCTAAATTCTAACAGAAAATTTGCTCTTAACTTAAACAAGAATTTGATCGAACATTTCTCATGCATCTATCAAAAATTTCAGATTGAATGAAAAGCCAGATATTTCTGTAAGGCTGTGAGTGTGAGTGTGGTGTGGGTATGGGGTGTGGGTGTTGGGTGTGGGGTGTGGGTGTGGGTGTGCGTGGGTGTATATGTAGATTTTCTCTTACCAACATCCACGCCCCATACCCACACCCACACCCACACCCCCACATCCACCCACTCACACCCACACCCACACCCACACCCCACACCCCACACCCACCCACACCCACACCCACACCCACCCACACCAACACCCACACCCCACACCCACACCCACACCCAATGCATGTTTAGTCAAGATATAGAATATATTAAAGTACAGCAAAACTAGTAATAGTAATAATCGTATATTTCTGCTTAGGAGGCCTGAAAAACCAAACCCTAGTAGGGTGTTTAATAACTCACTGAGGTCTATCGTTTGAGCATATAGTCGATCAAAAAGCGATTGAATACTGGGTGATGTTTCCTCGTCAGTCAAGAGATTGGTTCTATTATCTTCTTCAACTACTTTCTAATTTCCCAGACAATATTAAAATGTCCCTAGGTTCTTCTTGATTCGATTTTCATTTGTTTTATATGATTGTTATTTATTAATCATCTTTGAAATAAAAAACAAATGAATCAATGAAAAGTTTTTTTTTTGTATAATTGCGATATTAGTTACGTGTTGCAACTATGCTTTTTTGTTTTAAATGTTCGTATCCAGTAATTGGGGCATATTTTGATTGTTGCTGTAGGCATTTTTTACATGGTAATGTTTGAATAACACAATTCAAATCTGGTCCACTAAAGAATAATACTGAATATCTTAATTGTTTTACTGCTGCAACACGATGTAATATAGATATCCAGTAATTATTTGTTCATCTTTCAATAAATTCACCGCCAACTAATAATAAAGTGTCTGGTTTAGATTCTACACGAAACCATGTTCGATTTACGTTCACTTCTAAACCTAAAAAATATACCAGCAATATTTCTTGGCATCAATAGAAAAAAACAGACTTCATTTACAAATATGCTAGACTTCCCTGACGCAAGAACGATCTCAAGTGTCCAATCACATTTCACATAAAAGTGTTGACCTTATATATAGTCGAGAAAACTGATTCCAAATATGTTAGTCGGAACTGCCAATTGAAAATTGGAAAAACGGTTTTCCACTGTCAACATTTTTTTTCCAGACTTTACATCTGATCTGTTCAGGTTGTAAACTAGTGCCAGATTCATATCTGAAAAAGGCTCTAAAAGTCTGACAAAATTTAATAGAATTGATTTTCTAAAAATAATTAGAAAAAGGGAGAAAATGTTATATTTCTGTTTCCTCGATCTTCTGAAAAATTTATCTAGATACAGTGTTTTTTTTCTCATTTCGACCTAAAAGCAGCAGAAGTTTTCTTCTTGTACATACCTGGTACATTATCATTTTGTATTAATGTAAATCCAAGAAAATCTTGATGTTCTCCGAATGCTAATTGTTCCTCATTTTTCGTTGGTAAATATTTAGTTAATCTTAAACTAAAAATAGCATTATCATTTGTATAATTTTTATCAAATGTATTTTCATCTAATTCCAATGCCATATCAACAATACTATGAACATAAGTAATTAATTGTCTTGCTTTTAATATATAGTCCGGTATAACATCACGAAATAATTCAGGTAATTGATCAATAGAAAAATTAAATTGTTTTGATTGGGATTTGAAAATGTTATAAAAAGCTTCGACAGAATCGGAATATGATGCCTTTTTTTGTCCCTTATAGTTGGCAACAGACTCTAATCCTGTTGGTTTATATCCAGGTATTTCATAATATGGACCATTTACATAATATTTCAGTTTTGTTTCCAAATTTAATGAAAAAAATTCTTTTGATTTATCTATTAATTCTGATGTAATATTAGTATTCATTAATCGAATAATACCATATTCATGAAAAGTTTTATCAAATAATAATGCAATTTCTTTTTTCTCTTCATTTGTGCCACTTATAAACTTTGACATATCAATTTCATTGATATTTAATAAACACATATCATCACATTGATTTTGATGATTATCATTATCAAACGTATGAACATACATTATAAATAGAAAAATAACAATAAATTTCATATTGAACAGTCCAGAAAAAAATAAATGTATCTAAATCATGAACAATGAAATAGAATCCAGTTACGTTTTTTAGAAGAATAAACTATACAAAGACGAGCATTTTTGTAGAGACATTAATGATATAAGCATACATTATGAGAGGGCCCCTGAGCTCATCAAGAAATCACGTCACTGTAACAGTTATTAATCGTTACACTTCACTTCTCTCCCTTTCTCTATATGACTTCTTCCTTAAAGCGTTGATCGTGACGATGACTGTTTCTCTTCCTGTTCTCTTGTGTGTGATTAGTATATAATCGTGTATTCGTAGTGATATAGATACGAGTGGAGTGATGAAGTAGCTCAATAAACATCATTAGCAAGGGTAGCGATAGAGCTACCTCTCCAGTTCGTCACAGTCACTTTTATGGCCCTTGTTTAGAAACTCTGTCGCCAAATTTGTAGATGAAAAACTTTTTCGACCGACATATTAGATTTTTGAAAGCAGACTATTTTCAATTTTCTCAAAAACCAGATATCTCGTATTTCCCTTGTTTCTCAGTCATTTCACAATCGATCTTTTTTAGCAATGTCTCATTTGAAACAGTGGGAAAATTTGAACGAGATGTGATATTTTTCACGTCTAGAATATCATATCTAGGGTCTAGAATATGAAAAAACTCCGAATATGAAACATCAGTTTCTGAATATTT